ACTTAAAAGAAGATTAGGATGCTGAATACTCAAGTTACAACCTTATAACTTTGAGATTATCTATAAACCTGGACAAATCCATTTCAATGTTGATGCTCTTTCTCAACTCCAGACTCAAACCAAAGAACCCAAGTTATTATGAATCTAGACCGATATCATGAGTTATACCAATATCTAGATACAGATACTATTCCAGAAGACCTTACTGAAAATCAGAAGAAATAATTAATTAACCAAGCTTGATATTTTGAATTTAGACACTACTTACTTTATAAGAAGAATAGAAAGGACCCAGACAAACTTTTACAAGTTATCAAATGGACAGAAGTAGAACCAATTCTCTATATGATGCATAAACATTCTACTGCTGGACATTTAGAAACAGACGTAATATATTACAAAATAGCCAAATGATACTATTAGAACCAAATGTATTAAGATATTAAAGAATATATACAGAATGCCAGAAAAGACAAAAAGACAGAAGAAAAGAACCTTTACACCCGATACAAATTGGACGAGCCTTTGAATAAATTAGTATTGATCTAGTTGGACCCCTATCTATAACCGAACAGAACAATTGCTATATTATTGTAGCAACAGACTATTTAACTCGATGGCCAGAAGCCTGAGCCATACTAGATGCTGGAGCAGAAACTCTAGCAAAGTTTATCTTTAAAGAAATTATCTGTAGGCATAGAACTCCCAAGATAATTCTGTCAGATCAAGGAAAGAACTTCATTAGTAAACTATCTGAATATTATGTGAAAAGTTCCTTATCAAACACAAGTTCTCTTTATCATACCATCTACAAACTAATAGAATGGTTAAACATCTTAACAGAACACTTTGTGAATTATTCACAAAGATTAAAAAAACTGATGAATGGGATATACATATACCTGCTGTTCTCTTAGCATATTGAACTAAGAGACATGCTACCACTGGTTATACGCCTTTTCAACTAGTATATAGTAGACAAGCTACTCTACCGATCAAAACTATTATCTCTACTGAACCTATGCTGGATCCTGATATAGAAATCGACCTTCAGGATAGTGTATTACAATGTGGCTATGAACTAATGGAAAGAATGGCTACAACACAAAAAGAAGCTCGAGTTAATACCAAGAAGTCACAACAGAAACAGAAAGAATATTTTGATGCTAGAATTAGATCAGAAGAATTTGAAATTGGTGAAAAAGTTTGAATACAACTAAAGGCTTTAAAGAAGTTAAGATTAGCTAAATTCGAAGACAAAAGAGAAGGACTGTTCATTATTCAAGCTAAGATGAATAATGGTGCTTATAAACTATGAACATTAGAAGGAAAAGTTTTACAGAAGTATTATAATAGCAACTGTTTAGCAAAGTATTATGAAAAAAAGACATGGAAACCAATTATTATCATTGAAAATCCTTATTTTCTGGAAGAAATTTATTGGACAGGAAGTGACAAAAACAAAATTTTATAAAACTGACAATCATATAACCTTAAAAATTATAAATAGACTCCTTATTCAGAAATTCTTTAATTTATATATAATTAACAATGCACAACACCACCTTGTAACCTGTAACTATTCAAGCTCTCCAATACTTTCTTACATTTGAAAACAAGACCCTGTTGTCTAAAATAACTTAGAAATTTGTTCTCAAAGTATTTTTTTGTAGAACCCTAATGACCCTAATGACACTAGTAACATTATTATGCTAGTAAATACTGCAGTGGACCTTCCATTCGAACCTACCAACATGGATACTCTCTTGAATACCTTTCTAACTTAAGAACTAAAAATCACCCCAACTCTAATCACTACTTCTCCTAAACCAGAAACTGAACCAGACACTAAAGTTTACAAATAAACTAACTCAAACCTTAATCCCTCAATCAGACACTTACCTGAATCCTTTTATTGGTAGAACTTGAAAAGACCAACTAACCAAGATTATTCGACAATTAGAAGACAAAGGACGTACTCTACCTAAGCAGATAAAATCATCGAAGCTTATCTGTGCTTAAAAATTCTCATCCAGAAACAGACCAATGAATGACCCCAAATTCGTGAACTTCTCCAAGCTTTGCAAGGCTCTCGAAAGACTCAAGACATTTGGAAAGAAGCTATTCGTCTTTAACAAATCTTTAGTATTCAACCTAAAAAATTGTTGTATCAAACTTGATACTTTATTGTCATCCACGTTGTTAAGTTTACTGATAGAGAATATTAGTCTTTAATTAAGAATTTGCAGAGCAAATTTTTATAAGAGGACGAAAATATTATAAAACAGTTTTATTTTATTAGTTTATTATTTTATCTTAGTATTATTTTATTATTTTGATATTTGTATTTTATTAGTTATTAGTTATTATTATATTTATCTTAGAGAAAAATTTAAAAACATATATAACGATTAGCCTTAATACTTAATACTTAGCAATTTACGATTAGCGATTACGCTTAGCGATTAGCAATTATGCTTAGTGATTAACGATTAGCGATTATGCTTAGCAATTAATGATTAGCAATTATGCTTAGTGATTAGCGACTACTGTAAATTACTGAAAATAAGCACCCCTTTTTAATATATAGGGTGTGTCTATTTTTGGGTAAGGAGTTTTACAAAAAATTCTGAAAATGTCCAATCACATGTATTTTAGCATAGCAGGCTTTTATTCTGGTTGGCTAATTTTTGTAAATCATTTCATAATTTTACAAAATCTGATTGGCTAATAGACTTATACTAAAACAAACTCAAAGTAAAATATTTTACAAAATATAATAGCATTAATTGAATAAAGATACATTTATTTAAATTTTAATAATTACAATAACTTATTTTTTTTTTTTTTTTGGTGTTAAGGTGGGATCTTGTTCATGACTTTATTTATTAATAATACTTTACATGTATCATCACATCTTCCGTATTACATATATCAAGTACACCAAGCTCAGACCTGGATCCTATTGGTAACCTACGCTCTAGCCGAAATTATCACTTGCGCGATAGATGTCCCTATCCGCTACCAGCCACCGATCCGATTATCTGCGATCCAAACTTACCAGAGTGGCACGTTATCATCGACCTACTCACCCGGTATTTTACCACCTTTCACGAGTCCTATTTCGGTACACTTCCCTATGACGTCATTCCCCGCATCTCTCATACCACTTATATCTAAGCTCCCAAATTTGGTAGTCCCTGCTGGAATATGGTCTTGTAGCTTCAAGTGCTACTTCCAATCTTGGTTATCTTCAGCTAGCCTGCTTAGGTGAGTTCTACAAGTAGACTCCATGCTGATCCAGGATAAGCCTCGTCATTAATGCTTAGTTTAGTTAGTATGCTGCTGATTCTCATTACCTTATAGGTAGGTACTCCCATGTATTGGTGCAGGCTGCCGTGTTGCGTTATAGGTTGCCTATAACTTCCAGATTGCGGGTTTCGTATCGTAATACTTCCAATTTCAGTGTTTGGTATTCCTTATCAATTTCTGATATACAAGCCTGATTTGTATAATTGTACTATCAGCCCGGTGAATCCAGCCATTTCGAGTTATTACCACATACCCGAGTTTCAGCCTTCTTGCTCTGTCTTCACAGGTTTCTTCCTTAATAGGCCAAGTGGCTTGGGGCCAGAGGTGCTTCCGAACTCCAGATGGACCAATCCTTTACCACAAGTCATCCTCGTATTCACCACTTTTCTCACTACTCTAGTTTTGTTACCGTCGTGTTACTCTCCCAATCAAGTACTCCAACCGCTGGGGATGTTGGTGCTGCCCCGGTCACCCCTAATCGAGGACTAACGTGTATAACCTTCATGTAACAGAACCTTCCATGACTCGTTATACATAGTGCCACCACTCCACGATTGGACCTCCTTCCGGAAATTTTCTTTTCTGGTTTCATACTTGCACTTGGACTTAATCACAGGGCTCCGCATTCGATTATGGTCCCCTATTGAGTTACAGAAGCTAAAATCCTAGGATTTTGCCTCCAGCCCAACTCGAACCGTCAACCTAGTCTGTGGAGGTTTGGCAGCTTAACTGCTAAACTATAGAGCCCAAACCCCTATATGTATTCTTAATATGAATTACTATCTATAAAAAAAAGAATTATATAATATAAGAGGTTAATTATACTATTAATGATCAAATTTTTATTTATCCTATATTTTTCATATGACATATCATATATCTAGTTAATTATTAATCGAAAATAAAAACTTCATTTAAATTTTTATATAGCAGATATAAATGCTTAGATAATTAGTTATTATTTTTGTTGAAGTTCTAAATAAAATTATTTGATTATTTAATGAATATAATATTATTTGAGTATAATAAATAAAACAAAAAAAATACTAATTTAAAATAACAATAGCATTAGCAAATAGATTTGATTATATACCACACAATAAAAATAAGTAATACCTTATCGTATATAGCATTATATTTACTAGCTTTTTAAGCAGTAAATTTCATATTGAAATTTATTATTAATCATTTGTACTGACCATTACAGTTGTTTTTCACTTTTTAAAAAAAATCATTTAACTTGCATATACCACCAATTTATTATAAATGCTTTTCTAACAACATTGAATTACTATATTAATATTTCTTTTTCAGATTCATTCGTAAATTGATTATTTGACTAAACTGCTATAGGAATTTCAGTAGAAGTATTTGATTTTTGAAAAGTATCATATGCTATGTTAACAGTTCATTGATTCGTTATTTATTTTAATCTTTTTGTTGCGTAATAGCATCGATCGTTTAGCCACTTGTTTCCTTAAGCCAGTTGGAATTACTGATTTATCTGCATATATTGATTTATCACCTTATAACTTTTTTTTGCATTATTGAAACCTTGTTTGCCGCTCTATTCTAATTCTTTTGTCCATGCATCATTTTCTGAGATATATAATAGCGATATAAAATTATTATTTAAGCGAAAATAAAGGTAAAATATTTAAAGGAGAATTTACCCACATAAACATCTATTATACTCGACTTTCACATTCTAAAAAATTATTTAACACTTCTTGTAGATCATAATCTAAATCAGCAGAAGAAACCATTAGAGTCGTTTTCACAGTAGAAGATTCTAAATTTTCAACTTCCAAATTAATGATCTCTTCGATTAATAATGATGTAGAACTATTAACTTCTGCATCTAATGAATTTATTTCACTAACTTCTACTTGATCCATCTCTTCATAACTCATAATACTGCTAACTGATGATACATTACATGCATCTCGAAGATCAGCCTCAGTTAATGTTTTATCAAAAAAACTTATCTCACATTGAATGTTAGTCATATTATATGATCTAATTTTAGCAATTCCTTCCAATCTATTTAGATCTAAACTTGTTCGGTGCTCTTCTAAAATCCACTTTAATGTTGAGAAATTTCTCTTGCAATTTGATTAAGTAGGATTGATTGAAAAAATTCTATATGCTAATTCAGCCAGATGGCGAGGTTTATTTTTAAAAGATCCGCACCAAATCTTTGGAGTATCTGTACCCAGTACATAAGAAAGATCAAATGATGGTATTTTTGCTTCAAAACGGTGCATTTGTGCAATTAGTTCTTTACCTTCAAGTTTAGTATATCCAAGATTCTGCCAAAGTTCAAGAGCAGTAAGAGCTGCATCATGAAATCCATTATCCTTTAACCCTTTTCCTAATAAATTAAATAATATTTATTAATATATTTTAATTGCTTAATTAAATCTTCAAATATTTTTAAACTTGCCTCTATATTGTGGATGAATATAATATGCTAAAACATAAAGAGGATATAAAAATTCTTGGTAACACTTATTAAAAATATAAACTATTGAAGCTTTAAATGTGTTGATTTCGGATAAACGTTTAATTGCTGCAGCCAACTTAATTAAGTAGATAAAACAATCGGCTAGCGTTACATTATTAGCTTCAAGCATGTAAATAACTTCTTTAATAGGTTCCCATATTAAACGTACAAATCGACACGTAGTAAAAAAATTTTCATCTCTTATTAAATTACTAATTTCTTAATTAGTAATTGCATTTTTATACTCAGAAAGCATCTGTATAATAAAAAAAATTTTTTATTAAAAATAAAGATTTATAATAAAATAAAAATATAGATTAAATTATATTTTACCTAGTCGAATACAGGTCTTGCTCGAAGCATTGAATCGGTAGTAAAATATAATGATCCCCAACGGGTTTTTATCCAAGTCTTTAGCCCACCATCTTTAATTTTCATATTTGTAAATCCCTGAGTAAGTAATGAATGACTCAAATATAAATTCTTAAAAAAATTATTAATTTTTCTGCAATTACTAATTAATCTTTTTATATCATCTAATTTAACTAAATCGGCAGCAATGAGATTAATTGCATGTGCTGCACATCTAATATTCCAAATATGTGAATATAAGTCTTGTATTTTTTGACATGCTACTCTGCAATTTGAGGCCGCATCTGTTACTATAGCTGCAAACCTATCTGAATCAAGCCTATCAATGATATCTAGTATTTCGTTTGTCAAAAATTTACCCGTATAAGATTGTGTGAAATAATTCTTTAGACTAATTAGATATTCTTTTCGAGCATTAGTAGTAACAATATAATTGTAAATAGATTCTATATTTGGTGTTGTCCACCCATCCAAGGCTTATACGTATATATAAATTTAATTAATTATATATATATATTGTTTTTAAATATATATCTTTTAATTAATAAATAATAACGCTTACCCAATATTAAATGATCAGCATTATCTAGGTCATATCAATTGCTTTGTTTATTCGTGCTAGTTCTTCGTCCAATAATCAGTTTGATAAAGTTGATCTTGATGGTAAATTATATGCAGATAGAAATTCCTTAAACATATCCTGTATAAATGGGTTTTCAATAACTTCAAAAGGAATTTGCACCATTACCCATGCTTTAAGAATTTTTTGATCAAGCCGATCAATTGAAGATTTTGGTAGACAATTAGACATAAAATGAGTTGTTATGGCTGTTTGTGACATAGAAGTTGGAAGAACAGGATTTTTTGATTTACGAGCATAATTTGATGCTTTGTTAGCTAGTTTTTCCTTCCAGTATCGTGATATTTTCTCTGGACACTTTGAACACTCATTTGATAAGTGGGCTTCTAATTTAGCAGGCTTTCTTCTTCCCCAATATTCAGTACAATAATTACATGTTGCCTCATAATGTCCGTTGCTTTTTTGTATACCTTTTTTGAAATAGTCCGACACTTCACCTAAAGGTTTGGTTTTTTTTTTTTTTATTTGTTGAAAGCTGTAAGTTTGAAGTATTTGCTGTTACATTGTCTTTCTCTGACTTGGAACTAGATTCTACAAGAGAGTAAACTCTTTTTTGTAAATCTTTATCTACTTCCATAATAGCAAAGATATTAAAACATGTACGTATGTATAAAAGTAATGCAAGGAACCAGTATCGTCTAAAAGTTTTTTTTTTGTTTAAACTTAAATCAAGTAGACCCCTGAATTATATAACTCTAATGATCAAGAAAATAAATTTTATAAAAACCAAACACATGCTAAATAACGGTAAAAAATCATCAAATTTTGTGCAATAATTTTTTATAAGTTTCAGAATCAATCGCTTTATAAATTTAGTATGTATGTACGTACATAGCGATAGTAGCTTATTTTAAGTTTCAGAAGTTTGTATATAAAATAATTGCATATTGTTCTTTGCATATACAAAAAGATTGTGCTACTAGTTTATGCATTATCATATTTCAGGTTTTTTTTTTTTTTTTTTTTTTTTTTATTATTATTATTATTATTATTATTATTGAATTTGCTATATACAGAAAGAGATAATTACAAGTTTATATCAAGATGATATATAAAAAAAAAACTATCTACTATTTTTTGTATAACCACCTAAGTATAGCAAAACACCTCTTAATTTTCTATTTATAAACTAACTTAAGACTAGCTACTATTAGTTTTAGAAGTGGGAAAGAG